ACTATAATGAAAGTTTTTATTTATTCCTAGCCTTCAGTAATAATGGGAGCTAAAAATTACATCTCTAAACATAACAGCTGAGACATGTCTTATAAAAAAAACCGTTGGATTATTTTTTTTATTGGTTAGTTGGAAAACAGAAAGAGCTTCTGTTTGGTTTGGAAAAAACGAAACGAAAAACAGATCAAACAGCAACTCGACTAGTGGCAAACGGGTGAAGTAAAACACAAAACAATTGTTACCAGTTTGGAAGCAGTGTTGCCGTTTGTACGAGGATCCTCGTATTTGAACGAGGTTATGACGTAATGTATGAGGTACGAGGATAGAGCAGCCTCGTACCTCGTACATAACTTGTGCTGACGTATGCAATGCAAGGTTAAATTTTTATGAATGAAGTTTAGAATTATTTTTACTGTATTAATATTTATATTAATATGAAATACTGAACTTCTGTTGCTTTCTGGACAGATAAATTGGAATTATATCTTCTTTAATTAGAGTATAATTATTATTGCATTCATAAAATCATGACTGTAAATATGTTTTGTTTTTTCAATTTTCTAGAAATTTTTTTTCGATTTTATCCAGTATGAAATAAAATATAAGAAACTATATCCATTATTTCCTTCATAAACTTTTTTTGTAAATATATATTTATTAAAATGTGTTGTAAAGTAAAATTAAAAAGACATTTTTACCGTCATTTTTATCGTGCATAAAATAAAATACGAGAAAGTATAACCATTATTTCCTTCGTAATTATTATTTCCTTCATAAAACTGCAATTGTAAATATATGCTAAATAAGTTAAATTAAAAAAAAAAAATTATTACTGTAATTTTAAAAAGATATTTTCGATTTTTAATCGAGTAAAGTAATTAATTGAAAAATGAACTAGTATTCATAATGGAACCATCTTAAATAATGGGAAAAAAGTATTTTTTAGTGGTCCATATTTGTTTTGTCCGAGATCTTATTGTAAGCTAAATACTGAAACAATCACAATCTATTCATTTTTTGTATCATAATGGATATCTCTAAAAGCATCAATGCCCCAAAATTAATTTTTATTGGCCTTCCAGAACCACAAATGTAATTGTTTTGTTTTTACTAAACAGAAAAAAAATTAGTCATCCCCAAATTAAATCTTGGATCTACTGATGGATACTGATAAAGAGTACTCTAATAAGTTTATTTTGCCATTTCAATTTTTATATAAAGTGTCCAGTAGTTTCTAATACAAATATGTAAGCTTTTTATATATTTTATTAAGCGAATTTTACTTCTTGACCCATTAACTTAAAAAAAAGTAATGTAAAAAGGCTTTAAAATATATGAATAGAGGTAAAAATAAAAAGCTCTGATCTAATTTTACTATAAAAAAACAATAACACTGGGCTTACAATAGTACGATTTATGAATGAGCCAAGCGTACGAGGATGTACGAGGCTTCAGTACGAGGTTTTGTCACAGAGCGCACGGCGTACTGCGGAAGTACAGTGGCATAATAATAATAATAATTAAGCAACTGTAGCGGAAGAGCAGTTCATTCGCTTGAGATCAAGAACTGTTCTTTTCAAACGCTTGGCGTTTTCTCTCTCACCCCTAGCGATGGTTAGTGTAACAGTGTTCAATGTATGGAAGGAAATGGCGATATAACGTTATACATAAAGGAATAGCTCAGTAATCAGTTTATAAGCTATATTATAATACAAAATATTATTTATCAAAAATGTTTTTTTTTTCGGTACCCTATATCTTCGTTAATTCTGCATCAAATCCTATGATAGAACCATCATTTTTAATTTATCTTATCCTTCAGTATAAGTTAAGAACATCCTCCAGAAAAATTAGGCAAAACAGTTCTGTAGGAAAAGATTTTATTCGCGCATAACTCAAAAAGTATATAACATTGCACTAAAAACAAATATTTTTTGTGTGTATCTTCGCTGAAAATTATGGTGTGAGAAACTCGAATTTTCTGTCAGAATCCTTATATTAGCTACCTTTCTGCAGATACCTATACTCAGTATCGTACACACAAATATTAAGTTATCCTAGGTGATTTTCCTCTTCGTTATCCTCGTCCTCATTCAAGTCATAGTGTTCAGGAGGCCGTGGAACAGACAATTGTGTGGTATTGGACGTATAGCAGAAGGAATGTCAGGTATGCTGTCTTGATCATCTGGATGATGATGTTCATGGATGAATACTTTGAAATTGAAAAAATATTAAGTTATGCAGGTATAATCACCATTTTAAAAAACACCTTTTTGGATGGTGGACACCCAGAAATTCAATTATTTTAGTAATGGACATGGTACCGACCCCCCAGTAATAGACATACCTCAGAAAAATTCTAAAATTTCTATTTAACTATAAATGTTCAACTTTCTCTTATCAAAATTGTTTGTAGAAAGGTATGAAACATACTGATCTCAAGAGTACAATAAAAACAACAATAATAAGTATTTTAAAATTTTCTTTTGGGAACTTTATTCATACAGTTGTCAATAGAGGGCACTGTTCTTCAATATAGAAAAAATTTGAACCTTCAAATCAACAAGGAAGTTTATTTTTTACCTTTAAAGTCCAATCTGACCATAACTTGTGCGTTTACCCTACCTTGTTGTAAAAGCTATATATTGTAGTTATAAACTTTTATTTAACTATAACGATAACGATAAAGATAACATAAATGTTCAACTTACTCTTAGCAAAACTGTTAGGAAGATATGAAACACACTGATCTCAAGAGCACTTAAGAAACAACAATGATAGACATTTTAAAATTTTCTTTTGAGAACATTGTTCATACAGTTGTCTGTATACAATAGAGGGCATTGTTCTTCAATATAGAAAAAACTGATACCTTTAAATAAACAAGGAAGCTTATTATGTACATTTAAATTCCAAACTGTCTATCACGGGGACCCCTGTCCATAACTGGTGCGGTCATTCTATTTATTCGATAATTCGATCACGAAATCGATTAATGCGGACCACGGATCTAGGCTGAAGCCTCCTCCCCAAAATGATAAAATATAACCATGTTTTATCGAAAAGAATTCTAAAAAATTATCTCTTAATGTATTATTGTTCGTGTAATTACATTTAAATGGACTTTAGGAATCACTTAAACATCATTTCATAATGGTAGTTAGTTTATTTCTTAAGGGCACCCTACACGGTCAATCGGAATTGCACTAATGACGTTCCGAATTGTCGTGTAAGGTAGTGAATGAAGTACTGATGGAGGTGCGCTGCGGATTTCCGAACATCCGGAAATCAAAGGTTCATTCACGAGAAGTGGAGGGGGACTGAGGTAAAAGTAGTGGGGGGGCTAACCATACTGCTGGATAGGTTAGGTTACCTAGGCCTCACTACCATTATACATTTCTGATTTTCATTTTATGTAAATAGTTAAATAATTTTTCATATCCCTTGTTTATGATTTTAAACCATCTTCAACTATTTCTTTTAAATAGTCAAGTGGGCAACAAATTAAAAAAAAAAATGAGGAAACTTCACAATTTACTTTAGGAAAAAAAAAACTTTAACGTTGTGTATATTTATCAGTTCTTTTCCCATTTTCCTCAACAAATTTATTATTTTCGCAATACCTTTTCTTAATTTTTGTAAGTAGTAGACTTATATTTTACTAACTTTTGTCAAAACGATATGAGACTAACCTTACTACTAGATAGGTTAGTTTACCTAGGTCTCGTTATTAAGTAAATAATTTCATAAAAGTAAATAGTTGTTTATATCCCTAGTCTATATTATTATTAACCATTTTCAACTATTTTTTCTTTAAATAGTCAAGTAGGCAATAAATTGGAGAGAAAAAAAAGTGGAAACTTCACATAAGTAATGATCAGTAATGATTGAACGTGTAAGGGTCTTCATGATCAAAGCGATAGCGGGCAATCTTGGAACTTCTTGTGACGTTCATTCATGAATTACCGTGTAGGGTCTGCTTTATGGACACCTCGAACTTCAATTGTTCTAGTAACGGACAGGGGGTCGGTACCAGCAATCGACAAACCTCAGAAAAATTCTAAATTTTTATTTAACTATATAGATAACGATAAAGATAACATAACATAAACGTTGAACTTACCCTTAGCAAGCAAAAGTGTTAGTAGGAAGGTATGAAACATACTGATCTCAAGAGTACAATAAAAACAATAATGATAGGCATTTTAAAATTTTCATTTGGGAACTTTATTCATACAGTTGTCAATAGAGGGCATTGTTTTTCAATATTGAAAAAACTGAAATCTTTAAATCAACAAGGAAGCTTCTTATTATTTGCATAATAATAATAATCCCGTTCATCACAGGAGCTTACCCTAATTAGGTAATAAAGACTCATGAACGCCCATGTACTTTCCACTTCAATCGAAAGATAATTCGATCACAAAATCGATTATTGCGGACTAATAAACAGACCCATGACCACTAGTGGATCCAGGATTTAATTTTGGGGGGAGCATCAGCCTGAAACCTTTTTTTTTTTCCATAACTAACTACCTATGTGAAATGGTGTTTAAGTCCTTTTAAATGTAATTACACGAACAATAATACTTTAAGAGGTATTTAAAAAAAAAAATTCCATAAAACATGGTTATATTTTACCATTTGGGGGGCTTCAGCCCGAAAGTCCCCCTATCCCCGTAGATCCGCCCGTGCCCAGTTTTTCAGTTGAGGTCGGGGCCTTACCAGACGTTTCGGTCACTCCATCGACTTTCGGAGACACTCTTCCATTCTTGGGATTTCATTTATTGTGTGATCATGGGATCTTGATACACTCATCAAAGTGCTGTGGCACATGTACAGTAGTACCTTCACTTCTTTTCCAAACAAAAACTAAGTAAACAAAAAAACCTTAGCAATGTTGGCTCTCATGACCAACTTTTTTTTTTGTCTTTGAAAATTTTCATATATGCTTAAAAGATACTGTTAAACTTTAATAAGGTATATCTATATAAGAGAACAAATGATCAAAATCATATGAGTATTACTTTTAGGAATAGTTTTGTTTCGTTATACTTCAATATTTTAATAGATATTATTTATTTTTATTTTATCTTTTAAAATTCAAATTGATGTCTAACTTATATCTGAATTGCGATAATGTTTATATATTATGGAAAGGATTACAGACTTTAAGGTAAGTTCAGAAATAAACTACATTAATAGAAAACATCTTGCGAATGTTCATATTTTACTCAAATTAACCAAAATTTCATTTCTACAGCTGTCAAGTGTTCCTGTTGTTTTTGTTAAATTATTCTTTGGAACTAGGAAATTTAAAATTGTATCACATGTTAATTTATTTATTAATCTTATGATTAAAATATTTTTTTTTTTTTGAATTGAAAATTTCTTTAGGCGCGTTTTAAACTTTTTTTTGTGGAGAATGAATTTGATTGAGGCGTCAGATCTCCGATGTGTAACGCTGGTGTAAAGTCGGCTGGAGTCGACTAATTGAAATGTCTCAAAAACTAAAAATCGGAGCTGCGTATTTTAAGCAAGGGAATTGTTCAGCATTTCATCCTCTCTGTTATGGGCTTTTATTCATAGTTGTATATTAATGCGATGCCGTGTTAGAGAAGCGAAAAGTAAAAAATATTGTCAAAACCAAATAGCGAGTTTTATTGAAGATAGAAATGGAAAATAACTTTATTCTGGGACGAAGTCCCTTTAGAATAATAAAATAGAACATAATTAAAAGACTACATTTGGCCAAAATAAAACAATAATAAAAAAAGGGAAAGTAAAAAAATATTAGTTAAACAAGCTATATACAAAAAAATAATCTATATATAAAACACTTAAAACTATGATAAAACACTTAAAACTATGTGAAGCAGGAAAAATTATAATTATACACTTTTGAAAAATAAAATAATAAAAAATACATTGAGTTCTTCTTCAAAACGAGGTGTGTTTCTGCTAACAAAGGAAAGACAAAGCTGACAACATAAAGTGTCAGAGTATTTAAATAATGAATAATATATAGACACATCATTGTCTAATTCTAACTGTATGTACAGATTTAATTATATAAGAATAAAAAACAAACAATAGATGCATTTCGTGGCATTAAGAGCAGGAAGATATTGTAATATACCTAGTGAAGTTTACAGTATAGAATAGTACTATCGTTTGATGATTAATAGAAATGTATAATATCAAAAGTTTAGCAAGCATCTGACTGTTTTTTGGGATAGGAATTAGAATAGGAGGAATGCGAATTTTGATAGGCAGGGAATTCTAGAAATTGACAGAGAAATTGAAACTCCTATAAAGGAGTTTTGAAATGAGGCAGATCTGTGAGAAGGGATGTAGAGGTCAGAAGGCCGAGATCTTGTTGAAAGGGAATGGACTGAGGACTTGAATTGGAGAAGGTTGGAGGCGTAAGAAGTACGATGGTTGTTGATGATTTGATAAAGGAACGTACAGAGGAAATATTGTCTTCGAAAGCAAGAGAAGAGCCCAAAATATGGGTTGAAATATCTCAGAAACTAAAAATCGGACCTGCATACTGTAGAATAGCATTTCATCCTATCTGTAATGGAATATTATTCAAGCTGTATATCAACGTGACGCCATGTTATAACATATGAAAACCAAATTATAATATAAGCAAAAGACCACGTGAAAGTTAAAAAGCAGATGGATAGATAAATGGAAGGAAATAGCCCAAAGATAGGTAGAAATGGAGAAGGCTGATCAAGGCAACAAATGATCTACAAGTTCTGTATGCCAAAAAAAAGTAAAAAAAAAATCCCGTAATTATTTTTTAATGATCCTTAGTTGTGTTAATAAAACAGGAAAGAAAAAATCTTAAATTTGTTAAGTTTGGGGCTCCACTAAACCATCGAATTCCTCTCGTGTACAATCCTTACAATCCAAAATCCTTCGTAAAATCCTCAACGCTCCTTACTTTGACACAAATAAAATCATCCATGAAGACCTTAATGTTCCATATGTTTCCGATTTGGCCCAATCCAGATACCTGTCCTTCCATAACAAACTGCAGAACCATCCGAATCCTCTCGTTTCAAACCTTGCTTCCTCCTCGATCCCTGATAACCCTCCGAGACGTCTGAAAAGAAGATGGCCTCGGGATCTTCTAATATAGAACTTTAATTTGAGTTCAACCAATGGGTAGTTTCTTTTCATGTTGTACATGTCATGTTACCAATTTCACATTTACTTATTGTATTTTCTATGTAATACAGTTGTAAATTCCATCGAAATAATAAAAAAATAAATAAATAAATAAAATTTGTTAAGACTCCTCTACAAGAACTTCAAGGTGCAATAAAATCAATCCGCTAATAAATGACCACTAAAAGTCCCCGCCATTATTCCCGACGGGCACATTGTAAGAGGTACAGTGACTCCCGCCGACGGAGAACACAGCTGACGATTTATGAAGTGCCCCTAAAGATACTGACATTAGCACAAGAGGGCGAAGACCATCAGTCAGTCTCAAAGAGAAGTCGTGATGAAAAGGTAAGGCAGGGACCTTCCGTGCTCCGTGTCGGGAACATTGAACTCCGATGTTAATATTCTTGTATAATGAACCTCTCGACGCTATTCGCAATAATTTTGGTGTATTTGCATTGAGAACCGCAATGTGGTCAGCTTAACCGCAGAGTATTATACAAAATGACTAGAAGCACGTCATCTGGGATTGCTGCCATTATATTTTTTTATCTAGAGAACATATTAAAATATTTTAAAATCGTGATATAATAGTGCTAATAGCGCTTTGATTTCGATGAAATTTCTGTTATTTTTTTTTTTTTTTGGCAATTTAAATACCTTTGAAACATTTTATCACAACATCCCCAAAAAAGTGTATACTTGTTGAGTTATTCGGAATTTAATTTTACCAGCCCTCGTATTTTTTTTTTCCAGCTTCGTTTCGTTGAAGTATATTAAGTAGATAAATTTAAAGGGGTGTTGAGAATATGACATTGGCGAAGTTTTATTGAAATCGGTACATTCGTTTAGGCGCTACAGTCTATAGCGACGCAGGTTTTTCTGCATTTTTTTTTTTTTTTTTCTCCTTTATTAACATATCAAATTCTTTCAAAAGTTATATTTAGCATTTTTTCGTATCTCTCAAGATTTTCGCATAATTTAGTTTTACGAGTTTAAAATCGGTCGGAACGGGCCCCAAACGGTCACAAACATTAAAGAAGTTGTGAGAAGAAGACTTTAGCCTTGAAGAAATGATAATCATGGAAATATAATTACAAATATAGGTTTTGAACGAGTTAAGAAATGGATTAGTTTAAGTACAGAGATTGCTATTTCTTAATACCTAACTATTAAACTATAGGGATATTTTCTTATAGGACAAGATTATAAGAATGTCATAAAGATATTATTATTATAAATATATCACTTATTAAGGAAACCTTTACGTTAAGTTTTGTTAAAGTATGAAGCTTAATCAACTGTGTGTGTGTTGAATATAATATCTTCATAATATTATATGGGATATAGGAATCAGTTCCACTGTTGTTTTTAATAGGTCGAATGTATTAAGAAGAGTGATAGCTATGTAATGTTCAAGTTCTCGCTGTGGTATGTTAGTTTAAATTATATTTGGATTAAATCAATTAATTTCTAATGGCTCGATGTAACTTTATGAAGTACTAAAAACTCATCTTACACCCATTTGCTTTCCTCTTTAATCGTTAGATAATTCGATCACAACATCAATAAAAAAGGTGGCCTAAAAAAATAATGGCCCTTTTAGCGTGACCTACCCTCGACATGTCAAACTAACTAGGTTCTATAGGATAGATGGCCCAATATTACTTTCCTACCTACACTAGGTAAGGAAAGTATTGCGATCGGGTCAAATTTTCGACGGATCTATACGTTTCAGAACATCCTGAATCCGAAAAACACATTTTTAACCATTGGTCTGTCTGTCTGTCTCTCTGTGCCAAGATTTTCTCGGGAACTACTGGACCGATTCTGTTGCTTCTTTTTTTATTTTGTAGGGTTTTGATTAGGTACTCCATGCGCAATAGTTTGCGCACAATAAATGAAAAATATGTTTTTCTATTGACTGTAGAACTAAACGGCTAATACAATTTTGATGAAACTTTCCTATAATGTTCTAATAATTGTCCTTTCTATTTTCGTATATGGACTAAATTCCCGAGAAAATTCAGGAAAAAAAGTAATAAATACAAGAAAAATGTTATGGAGCATAACTCCCTAAGTATATATTATAGGGTAAAATTTATAATAAAACTTTTGAAAGGTGATTAAATTACCAATAAAACAAAAAAAATCATCAGAATTGAACTAATATTAGCGATGATAAAGCTTATTCTATTTTTTACACATGTTTTCACTTATTACTTTCCTACCTATATCTACTTTCTTACCTATACCTGAGGAAAGTATTGCGATCGGGTCAAATTTCCAATATGCGGTTTTCGACAGATCTATACGTTTCAGAGCTCCCTGAGTCCGAAAAACACATTTTTAGCCATTGGTCTATCTGTTTGTCTGTCTGAAATCATCGTAAAAATCAATCATTTTTTACAACTATAACGAAGTTACAGCTATTCAATTTTCAATGTAAGATTACGGGTTCATACCCTGGTGTTAGAAAGAGGTGAATGAGAGAAAAAAGATGACTAAGTGAAAGTTACAAAATCTGTTGTCCGCATCACACAAGCTTCACTATTTCCTCTATTTTTAACAGAAATTATTGTTTGACAATACTAAGCTATGGCAAAAAGTTTTTGATCATCAATATTAGAGAGTATTGAAATTTGTACACACACCTACTTTAAGCCGGTTTACATTGCTTTAGTTTATCAAATAAATCGTACAACAATATTTTCTCGTTTCTTTATGAACATATAAAACTTTTCTGAAACAGGTAGGAAAGTCGTGTGAGTGGACACACCAGATTTTTTATCTCGAGAACTTATTAAAAATAACAACAATGGTTAGTTTATATTATAAACTTTATAATATGGTTCCCTTATGTTTGATGCCGTGTAATTTTCTCAAAACAGTCACGAAGCAAGGTTTATCTTTGTCATGTTTTATGTTACAATGTTCTTATTACCTATTTAAATTTATTAATTGATTTATTCTTCGCCTCTACCCTAAAGGTTC